CTGTTTCGTCGGAGTTTCACCGACTCATCAGGAGGCTGAACCCTCAACAGTCTGTAGAATCCCCTCACTGATTACACTGTAAGTGATAATCCACCTTAACCAAAATCAAAGTAGACTATCACTCACCCATATATATATATATATATATATATATATTTGTCACAGCCCCTCGTTTGTTGTCCTCTTCTCCCTCTCTGCCTACGGTTTACTGGGCAGTTCTATTTGACTATATGTATATATATCGTCAAATAGAACTGCCCGGTAAACCGTAGGCAGAGAGGGAGAAGAGGACAACAAACGAGGGGCTGTGACAATATATCATTTTTATTTTTTTGGAAAAAGGGGCAGCCAGTGTCCTATGATCCAGGCACTCCGGCGAGGTTCATTCGACGGCTGCTTCGAATTGTAGGAGCCGGAAAACGGGTCGGGCATCCCTTACATCCTAAAGAGATTACAGAATATACCTTTTCCTGGGGTCTGGTCCCACCTACAGCGTTGAGTTTTCTCAACGCTGAGCTTTCTATCACGTATGGCATGGTGGGACGGAGCTCTGCCGTTGATGTATTGCGATCTAATGGTACCGAAATACAGGAGAATAACCTATTCGATTTTGTCATTTTGTAGAATTTTCATTTGACGTGAAATCCGTTTTGTAGTATGCTTTGGCCTTTTTTTTTTATTGGAGAAACATAGCATTTTCCATTCCAGGAGACCACCGGGGCCCGGGAACACACCCCTACAGATCAACCCGGTACAAATCTGCTGAGGCCAATACTCAGGCTCCTGGAAACCGGGTCCAGTGTCCCTTTAAGGAATCTCCAAAAAATAAAAATTGCAAAGCAAATCTATGGCAGTATAATATCCTTGCCGCACAGGAAGACGCCGACATGTTTCTAGGGTTGAAACACTATTGGCAAAAAACTACGAGCTATAAACTGCAAATCTCGAAAATGCAAAAGGCAATTCACAGGAATTTTACAATTTAACCCTAAAATTATTTCCAAAGGCAGACTAGATTCTTGGATACAATTGAATTCTAAAATCCAATCCAAGTACGCCCTAGATTTAATCTTAACAGGAATTAGTACTAGGCGTATCAATATTATCTACAAAGAATAGACGATTGGAAACAACCAAGAAACGGCCACACATTGAGAGCCTTGGGGAGAACGTATACTTACTACCTATAAGCTCAAAGATCAGGAGCTGGGCAAGAAAAAGAAGCTGTAGGGTTACCCTCCCATCATCACTGTCCAATCACACTGTAAAGAGCCTTTGTTGCCTAGACGGGTTTCCCACCACGCACCCCATGGATACAACTCTAGTTTGCTCTTCACCGGGTCTCTCGTTTCGTCCAATCATTGGTGTTTCCACTGCTCCCTCGTGCTAACTACTCTTATAATGACTACAATTGACTAACGCTCCCACCACTGACGATGGCACTCACACTGCCCCCGTAGTGCCGCTGTCGATAGAAGAATAAGCTGTAGGGTTACCCTCCCATCATCACTGTCCAATCACACTGTAAAGAGCCTTTGTTGCCTAAACGGGTTTCCCACCACGCACCCAATGGATACAACTCTAGTTTGCTCTTCACTGGGTCTCTCATTTCATCCAACCATTGGTGTTCCCACTGCTCCCTCGTGCTAACTACTCTTATAATGACTACAGTCGACTAACTAACGCTCCCACCACTGACGATGGCACTCACACTACCCCCGTAGTGCCGCTGTCGATAGAAGAA